AACCATCATTGCCATTGGTGTTGATTGAGTTGAACATTCTTGCATCTCCGGTCATGTGTTGAGTGCACCCACTATCAAGAACCAAATACCTTTATCCGACTTTGTAATTAACCTACAAAAGAAAATCAATTCTTTTTAGGTACCCAAACTTGCTTAGGTCCTTGAAGGTTAGTCACTAAGCTCTTTGGTACCCAAATAACTTTCTTCTTTGAGCCCATCCATGGTTTACTAATGAACTTAGCCTTCACACCATTTGTACCCTTAGTAAGCATATAGCATGAATCAAGCTTAAGGGAGGATACATTAGCATTTTTGTTCTTGTTGGTGCATTCATGCTCTTTATGACCCACTTGCTTGCAACTAATGTAAAACCGACCATTGTTCTTCACAAAACTAGTCTTGTGAGTAGCAAAGGCCGCCTTGCCTTTCTTGGGGGTATAGCCCAATCTCTCTTTGTAGAGAGAAGCTCTTTGGATACCCAAGCACATAAGCAAGTGGTCCTCACCACCATAGGCCTTAGCCAAAGTGTGAGTGAGCTTGTTAACCTACTTCTTGAGATTCTCATTCTCAACCACTAGTGAGGCATCATAAGTGAGACCATCACCACTAGATGAGGTGAAAGTGGAAGTACTACAAGAAGGGTTAGTAGAAGGAACAATGATAGGCATAGATAGTTATTCATCAATTATATCACAAGTTAAGTCTACATTGTAAGTTTCAACATGCTTCTTTTTGTTTTGCACATCAAGCAAAGAGGAATGAGTCTTTTCAAACTTTTTGTAAGCTTTGCGAAGCTTCTCATTGGCTTCCTCTAGCCTCTTATGAGATGCATTGAGCTCATCAAAGGATTGCTTAAGGGCTTTTAGTTCCTTACGCAAGCTTTTGCATTCCCTTCTCTTGATGTCAAAGTGTTCTCTAGCATCTTCTAGCATGTCAAATAATTCATCCTTAGTAGGTTCATCATCATCACTATCACTATCATTTTCATTTTCATTATCATCATCATGTTCTTCATCACTTTCATCATCACAAGTTTGTACCTTAGTGGCCTTAGCCATGAAGCATGATGAAGAGTCGAAGAGAGAAGGCTTCTCGTTGATAGCAATGCTTGCAAGAACCTTCTTTTTGGTGGTCTTGTTATCATCACTATCGTCATCATCATCACTTAAGGAAGCATCACTATCCCAAGTGACCACATATGAACCACCCTTCTTCTTCTTGAAGGTCATCTTGTCCTTCTCTTTCTTTTCCTTCTGGTCCTTCTTCTTGTTCTTCTTCTTGTCATCATCATTGTCGCTATTGTATGGACATTGAGCAACAAGATGATCTTTGCTTCCACACTTGAAGCACCTTCTTGACTCTTATTTGTTCTTGGATGAAGACTTCTTTCTTCTAGCACGGTAGCCCTTCTTCACCATGAACTTGTCAAATCTCTTGATAAAGAGAGCCATCTTCTCATCATCATCATCATCCCATGAATCATCTTCTTCACTAGATGTTTATTGCTTAGCTTTGCCATTGGATGATGTGGCCTTGAATGCCACACTCTTCTTCTTCTCATCCTTCTTCTCATCTTTCTTCTCCTTCTTTTCTTCTTTCTCATCTTCATCTCTATATGTATCATCGGTCATGATGTCTCCCAACACTTGGTTTGGTGTCATAGTGTCCAAACCACTCCTTACTAGAATAGTGACCAATGTGCCAAATCTTAAAGGTAAATATCTCAAGAACTTGTGAGAGAAGTCCTTGTCATTCACCTCTTCTCCAAGTGCTTTGAGATCATTGACAAGCACTTGAAGCCTATGAAACATCTTCGGCACACTCTCATACTCCTTCCTCTTGAAGCTTGCAAATTTTTCTTTGAGAATATATGCCTTTGCACCCTTCACGACTTGAGTGCCCTTAAATGATTCTTCCAACTTCTTCCATGCTTCATGAGCTCTCTCAATGTTCTTGATTTTCTCAAATGTTCTTTCATCCAAAGCATTATGGATGACACTAAGAGCAATGTCATTATTTTGGAGTAGTATTTCTTCGGCGGCGATGGGAGCCTCTTCATCTTCAATCTCAATCTTTGTCTCTACCACCTTCCAAACATTCTTATTGATTGACTTGATATAAGTTGTCATCTTAGCCTTTCAATAGGGATAGTTGGAGCCATCAAATTAGGGTGGCTTCTTTGTATTGTTGATTTGAGCCATTTTTACACCGAAGGTTGTTAAGCCTCAAATCACGGTGACCTCGGCTCTGATACCACTTGAAAGGTCCTAATGGCTATAGGGGGGGTGAATAGCCTAATAAAAATTTCTACAACAACACTTAGCAAACTAGTTAGATAATTATGAGGCGAAGCAAGTGTTGCGCTAGCCTACCAAAAATGCAAGCCACCTACCACAATTCTAGTTGATATAGTTTCTATCCACACAATAGCTATATCACTACACTAAGTTAGTGTACTCTCAAAGGCTAACTAAAGAGCCACACTAACCAAACTAACAAACTCTCACAACTAGCTACACTAAAGAGCTTGACAACTAGTTTACGGTAATGTAAAGAGAGTGAGCAAGATAGTTATACTGCCGTGTCGAGGAGTGAACCAATCAATCACAAGAATCAATATCAATGAAGACCAATCACCTTGGAATCAAAGGATGAACACAATGATTTTTTACCGAGGTGACTTGCTTGCCGGCAAGCTAGTCCTCGTTGTGGCGATTCACTCACTTGGAGGTTCACGCGCTAATTGGCTTCACACGCCAAACCCTCAATAGGGTGCCGCACAACCAACATAAGATGAGGATCACACAAGTCACGAGCAATCCACTAGAGTACCTTTTGGCTCTCCGCCGGGGAAAGGTCAAGAACCTCTCACAATCACCACGATCGGAGCCGGAGACAATCACCACCCTCCGCTCGACGATCCTCGCTGCTCCAAGCCATCTAGGTGGCGGCAACCACCAAGAGTAACAAGCGAATCCCGCAGCGAAACACGAACACCAAGTGCCTCTTGATGCAAACACTCAAGCAGTGCACTTAGATTCTCTCCTAATCTCACAAAGTTGATGAATCAATGATGGAGATGAGTGGGAGGGCTTTAGCTAAGCTCACAAGGTTGCTATTTCAATCCAAATGGCCAAGAGGGTGAGCTTGAACCGGCCATAGGGCTTAAATAGAAGCCTCCACGAAATAGAGCCGTTGTACCCCTTCACTGGGCACAACGCGGGGTGACCGGACGCTCCGGTTCGATCGACCGGACACTGGCCCTCAGCGTCAGGTCACATGATTCACGCCACGTGTCCCCTGCTTCAAATAATGTTCATCAAATTTCAACGGTCGTCTGCTGACCGGACACAGCGCGCAAACTGACCGGACGCTCAGTCTCCAGCGTCCGGTTGTTTCCAGTAAGGTTTCAGAAACGAATTTCTTCGACTGGACACGTCCAATCATGCTTGACCGGACCCTGACAGCGTCCGGTCAGTTACCCTGACCACTGTGCTGTCATGTCAGCTAGGACCGGACGCAGCCTTTCAGCGTCCGATCAGTCTGAGACCCAGCATCCGGTCGTTTGACCGAAGCTGGCGTCTACGCTGTCACGTTTGACCGGACGTGCCGGTCCTTCTATGATCAGCGTCCGGTCACCTTGTGACCAGCGTGACTAACTCCTTTTCACTTCTATCCTCTTCACCCTTGCTGAAATATGCCAACCACCAAGTGTATCACCCTGTGCACATGTGCTAGCATATTTTCACAAATATTTTCAAGGGTGTTAGCACTCCACTAAATCATAAGTGCATATGCAATGAGTTAGAGCATCTAGTGGTACTTTGATAACCGCATATCGATACGAGTTTCACCCCTCTTAATAGTACGACTATCAAACCTAAATGTGATCACACTCTCTAAGTGTCTTGATCACCAAAATAAAATATCTCCTATAAAATATACCTTTACCTTGAACTTTTTGTTTTTCTCTTTCTTCTTTCTAAGTCGAAGCACTTGATTATCACCATGCCATCATCATCATCATGCTATGATCTTCATTTACTTCACCACTTGGAGTAGTGCCACCTATCTTATAATCACTTTGATAAACTAGGTTAGCACTTAGGGTTTCATCAATTCACCAAAACAAAACTAGAGCTTTCACCGCGGGGGAAGAACAAGAGGGAGGGGAGGGGCGCCCGCTAGGGCCGGTTAAAAAAGATTTTTTTTTCCTTTGCCAAGTATCCTAGATCTAGGCACTCGGCAAAGTTTTTTTTAATTTTTTTTCTTCTCCTTGTTTCCCTGAAAAAAGTTTTTTTTCCTTGGTCGAGTGTCCTACGTCTGGGCACTCGGCAAAGTTTTTTTTTTATTTTTTTTCTTCTCCTTCTTTCGCAGAAAAAAGATTTTTTTGCTTTGCTGAGTGTCTTAGATCTGGGCACTCGGCAAAGTTTTTTTTATTTTTTTTCTTCTCCTTTTTCTCAGAAAAAGATTTTATTTCTTTGTCGAGTGTAAAAAAACACTCGGCAAACCCTCTCTTTGTCGAGTTTTTTTTATACTCGGCAAACCTCCTCTTTACCAAATGTTTTTTTTCCGAGTATTTTTAGCGTAGCACTTGACAAAGAACTTGTTTGTCGAGTGTCCGAGAGAATACATTCGGCAAATATAAAAACACTTGGCAAATTTAACGTTGCCGGTAGCGAGAGATGCGTCTTATCTGTCCTGTCGTCTCTCTTTGTTCCCCGATTGCCGAGCGTCGATCCAGGGACCACACCAGCTCCGGCCCACTGATCCTCCACAGCAATGGAGCAGTAAAATTAGCTCCCTCCAGCTCGAGGAACGACTTCAATTGGAAGTCAAAACTCAAAACACATGGGAACAACGGCAACCATTCAATGAGAAGTGCGCCCTCATGCTTTTAAATAGAGAATGGCGGCCCCCGTACGTATGTCTATCTATTCTCGTCTCGTGTTCCATTGCACAGTTCCATCTCGCGGCATTCCCACGTCGAGAAGTGCCTCATGGCCGTCATGGCGCAGAAGACCGTGATCCTCTACCCTTCTCTGGGAGTCGGCCATCTGAACCCCATGGTGGAGCTGGCCAAGGTCTTCCTCCGCCGCGGCCTAGCCGTCATCATCGCCGTCGTCGACATGCCCGACAAGGACTCTGTGTCGGCTGAGGCGCTGGCTCGCCTCGCCGCCGCCAACCCGGACATCGCGTTCCGCCTCCTCCCCGTCCCGTCCTGCGGCACGGAGCCTTGCTCTCACCCGATCATGCGCACCATCGACGTGCTCCGCGTCGCCAACCCCGCGCTTCTGGGCTTCCTGCGCGCGCTCCCCGCTGTCGACGCCATCGTGCTCGATATGTTCTGCATGGACGCGCTCGACGTCGCCGCCGACCTCAACATCCCGGCATACATCTTCTTCTCCTCCGCGCTAGGCGACCTCGCCATCATGCTCCACATGCCGTACTACTACCCTACCGCCCCGTCCTCGTTCAAGGACATGCCCAAGACCGTGCTGCACTTCCCTGGCGTGCCACCGATCCGCGCGCTCGACATGGGGACGGCGATGCAGGACCGGGACAGCGACGTCGCCAAGGCACGCCTGTCCCAGTGCGCGCGCATGCTCGAAGCGAGGGGCATTCTCGTGAACAGCTTCGACTGGCTGGAGGCACGGGCCCTGGAAGCGCTGAGCCGTGGCCTCTGCACGCCGGGGAGCTCGGCTCCGCCAGTCCACTGCATCGGGCCGCTGATCCTTCCCGGAAACAGGGGAGGGGCCAGCGAGAGGCACGCGTGTCTGGAGTGGCTGGACGCCCAGCCGGACCAGAGCGTTGTTTTCCTCAGCTTCGGCAGCCTGGGGAGGTTCTCAGCGCCGCAGCTGAGAGAGATAGCACGTGGGCTGGAGAACTCCGGGCAGAGGTTCCTGTGGGTCGTTCGGAACCCGCCTGAGCACCGGAGCAACTCCGTCGAGCCGGACCTGGAGTCGTTGCTTCCCGAGGGTTTCTTGGAGCGTACTAGGGAAAGGGGCTTCATGGTGAAGAACTGGGCGCCGCAGAGCGAGGTGCTACGGCACCGATCCATCGCCGTGTTCGTGACGCATTGTGGGTGGAACTCGGCGCTAGAGGGCATCGCGTCTGGCGTGCCGATGATCTGCTGGCCGTTATACGCGGAGCAGAAGATGAATAAGGTGCACATGGTCGAGGAGATAAAGGTTGGCGTGGTGATGGAGGGGTACGAGGAGGAGCTGGTAAAGGCAGAGGAGGTGGAAGAAAAGGTGAGGCTGATGATGGCGCCTGGGTACGGCGACGGGAAGGAGCTTAGGCAGAGGCTCTTGACGGCCAAGGAGATGACTGTAGAGGTTCTCAAGGAAGGTGGCTCATCTGACGTGGCGTTCGACGCGTTCTTGACAGACTTGCTGAAGAACACCTGTACGGATAAAAGTGGCTTCTGAGATGTGCAACGGTTTTCTGTTTTATAGGGGGGGGGGGGAAAGTGAAAGAATCATTTTCCCCGCCCCAGGTCCGGGTGCTCATCTATTGGCCGACATGCGCTACATTTTCTTTTTGCGAATTTGGACATGCGCTACATCGTCAATAGATTCTGCAATTCTAGCGATAAGATTTTAAACGACTTTCATAGAGCCACTTTGATGTGCCGTTAACCTGTTATTTACATTTTGCATATATGTTGAGGATGCTACGTGCACAACGGAAAATCCAGGGTGTATCATTATTCTTATTTTTAAGATCCAGAGTTTCATGTATTAATAAGAAGAAGAGAGATGGTCTAGTCTATAAGCAGCGGCGGATCCAGGAAATATTTTAGGGGGGCTGAACAACACTGTTGTTCGATCTTAAGTCTCAGCCCCCCTACACTATAGAACTTTGCCTAAAAATTCATAGGGGCTCTACAGTAATTTGCACTGATTCGGTATAGGTAGGAGGGGCTTGAGCCCCCCCCCCCCACTGCTGGATCCGCCCCTGTCTATAAGGAAAATCAAACCCGAAAACCATACAACCACTATCTAAAAACTATATATTGTCTACAACTATCATAACGAACGACGAAGCCTAGTATGTGTCATTGTTGCCAAGCTTTGCCCAACGATAAGCAGTTTCGACTTCACAGCGAAGGTCCTCAGCCTTGTCTTAAAGCTTAGAGCAACCCTGAGACAAAAGCTTCGTCGAAGCACCAAGTGGCTACCAAGTACAACACGACCAAATACGAAATCTACCACCAAAGTTCTTGACATGGGCTACATTAGCGCAATAGATTTTGCAATTGTGCCCGTGTATGTGTTGCTAACCTGTCATTTACATTTTGCATATATGTGGAGGATGCTACGTGCGCAAGGAAAAACAATCCAGGGTGTATCGTCGCTTTTTTAAAGATCCGGAATTTCCGGTATATGTATTAGTAAGAAGAAGAGGATTGGTCCAGTTTATGAGCAAAATGGCGCCAACCCGTCACAAGGTGCCTTTCCCGAATTGTCCAAAAGGGGGGAAACCAAGCTGGAAAAGTGAAAGAATCATTTCCCCGCCTCGGGGGCCGGGTCCCGGTGCCCGTGTATGGGCCTGGACATGCGCTGCATTTTTTTGCGCATTTAGACATGGGCTACATTGTCAATAGATTCTGTAATTCTTTTTTTTTTCTTAAATAATAGATTCTACAATTCTAGCGATAAGATTTGAAACAACTTTCATAGAAGCACTTTGATGTGCTGCTAACCTGTCATTTACATTTTGCATATATGTTGAGGATGCTATGTGCACAAGGAAAAATCCAGAGTGTATCGTTATTCTTTTTCTTTTTTGAAAGATCCGGAATTTCTAGCATGTATTAATAACAAGAGGAGAGTTGGTCTAGTCTATAAGGGAAATCAAACCCGAAAACCGTATAACCACTATCTAAAAACTACATTGTCTACAGCTATCATAAGTTCATAACAAACGACAAAGCCTACTATGTGTCATTGTTGCCAAGCTTTGCACAACAGTTTCGACTTCACAGCGAAGTCCTCAGCCTTGTCTTAAAGCTTAGAGCAACCTTGAGACAAAAGCTTTGTCGAAGCACCAAGTGGCTACCAAGTCCAACATGGCCAAATACGAAGTCTACCACCAAAGTCCTTGTTTTCAACCATTCTTCAAGACCAATCACAAATATGAATCATCGTTGCCGAGCCCGTTGACACCTCAACGCAAGAGCTCCAACTTAAAACATTGTAATCAGGCATGACCATCAGTCGAGAGGACCCAAGCACGATGCAGGATTCCACAACAATGCCTTTAGGAAGAATACGATGCTGCCATCGCTAGCCCATAAATGGCTATGTTATAGCCCATCGAAACCTAGCAATGTAGGATGGGGTGAATGGAGGAAGTGGTGCCCACATGTGTTGCCGTCCGGATTTTCACCCTAACCTCAACCGACCAACCCGCGTAAAAAGCAGTTGGGGCTCAACCATGCTAGTAGTAAGGTTGCATACCAACTATCATATGCGGGGAAAACACCCTCGGTGGTAGAAATAGCACAACATAGGGAGAGGGGACAAAAAGGACCCAATGGAGACCATGGTGTTGACGCGTATCCGCTTGATCTGAACCACCCACGGCCGAAGTTGACCAGGAAGGTTTCGTTTTATCACTCCGATCATAGTATTTTTAAATCTGGTAGATAGGTAGTTTTACCTCTATGTTAAGCTGAGATTTGTTTTGGATCTGGAACAATGTTTTTCTCTCACAACAAATCTGCCGAAATAGTGTTTCGGTTTATTTTTTCAGCGAAGCGAACGGAGCCATAATTGTCTTATCTTTGCTACAAATTTGAAAACATGTTTTGTAATAACTCTTGTAATGTATGAAATGAATTCTACAAATTTGGATAGCCAACAAATCTGTGGAGCGAAATATAGATAGCATATTGAAGGTGAGTTTTTTATTTCACTATTCAAATATATAAAGTAGGATGGCTGTTTAGGTAGCCTGAAAGTCCTCTTAAGGGGAAGCAAGTCGAGAGAAAGGATGTACATAGATTTTCATACGTTTGCGGAAGGCATATAAGGCATGTTTGCTTGTTATTTTTGGGAACTCACCTGGCCCTGACAAATCCCCTAGGTTCAATTTTCAGCGTCGGTTGTGGGATCAAACTGTCTAGCTGAAGCCTCCTGAACCATGATATCAACCAAACAACCCCATAGTTCTTGATGTGCCATGATCTGAGCCCATGCTAACCATAAAAAAAAGCGAGTTTGAAGAAAGTGATGATGGATGGTAACAAAAGAAACTATTGGTGTGTTTGATTTGTGGAATCATCCCTTGCTTCATGAGGTGGTGCATCATGAGTACATCCCATAAATTTTGGTGGAATTAACTCATTTCTCATGCATATGCTAATTATTAACTTGTGAGAAATAAAGTGGTGATGGATCAACCCATTTCATTCGATAAACCAAACAAAAAAGTGGAGAAGTGAGAAAAGATGGACCACCTCATTTCTCAAACAAATACACCCATATAAATGGTTTCTATGAAAAACAAAGACGAGTCTTCCTTCTCTAAATTAACAAAACAAACATGCGCACACAAAACAAGATTAACATGGTGGCTAGAAACCAACCAGCCTTGAGGTACGGTGATGGCACTGGTTAGCTACTAGCTACCTACATTTTGTGGTGGATCGTGCATAGTTCAGCACGAGTGCAGGACGTTTTTTTTTTTTTGACAACAGTGCAGGACGTTGAGGACTCTGAATGTGCTGACGCGGATAATTCTGCCATCCACCACGTTCAGAGCAGTTTAGCCTTCAATTCATGCCAAAAAAAAGACCGGGCAACAGAGAAGTAGCCAAAAGGAAATTAATGGCCATCGATCTATTTTCCTTTCTTGTTTCTTCTCTAGTCTAGAAAGGTAACATGGTGTTGTTATGTTTGTTTGAGAAATGTGAAGGCAAACGGTAACAGTATCTGAAAGCAGCGGATCAGCGGGATATGAAACAAAGTAAACAGAGTCTTTATTTCGTTCACAAAAACCACTCGTCAGGCTCTCTCCCATAGCCATTGCCCATCGACACCTGAAAGCAACTGCACGAACTCAACGGCAATCAACAACATGAGCCGTGACACTCACGGTGGAAGACGCAGGACTTCCCGGCGACGACGGGGAATGACTACTGCAAACACAAGAGTCGTCTTATTCTACACTACCAGAAAAAAAAATAGTGCCTGAAAAATAGTGCAGCAGTCACGAACTCTTATGTTTGCAGTAGTCATGTACATGAATAGTGCGAAGTGCGAACAATGGTACAACTCTGACTATTGCAAACATAAGAGCCGTCTTATTCTACACTACCAGCAAAAAAATAGTGAGCAGCGTACAGCTCATCATCTTTATGAATTACAAGAGATGATGAGTACCAATTGTAACGGGGACCTTTTTCTCTCCCGTAAACAGGAAAACGTGATCAATACAGAAACAAATGGCGCATTTTCTGGATAGATAAAAAAAAAATCTTTTCTAATGGATTTACATATATAAGACAGGCAAAATTTAGTTCATGGTATAACAGCATAACTAGCTGCTTCTATCTCAACTCTGCTTTCAATTTATCTTTCACAGCTTCCCTGACATTCAACTGCAATTGAATTGCACAGATGATCAGATTAAGAATCAAGATAACATAAAACAAAGTCACTCCATGAGAATTGTTGCATGTACCTGAAGATTATTAATCTCCTCATCTGTGAGTGAACGTTCCATTGACCTATAGGCTATTCTGTAGCAGTGACTTGTCATGCCTTTCTTGTTGGTGAAATTATCAATAAGTTTTACCTGCAAACAAAAAAAGTTAATCTCAAAATACTCTGAAGAGTTTTAAATTCCATTATATGACCAAACTACAAATTGTAGATTGGATGCACAGATTAGGTTCCTCATATTAACCAAATGGATACTGGTGTTTGAAGGTAATGAGATCAAAACTCCATATCATGCCTGAAAAGGAGTTACAGTATACGCATGCATGTATGTGGGCACTGGAAGGAGTCAGCTAATCATTTAATCGAACTATAAATAACCCAAGGAAAGGTGAATCATTACCAGCAGGAGTACAGGACACTGGCAATAAGCTTGTATAGATCAGAAGTACTCAATCCGTTCCAAATTATAAGACATTTTGGCTTTTTTAGATTCATAACTTTTGCTACGCACTTAGATATACACTATGTCTACATGCATAGTGAAAGCAATGTATCTACAAAAGCCAAAACGTCTTATAATTTGGAACAGAGGGAGTAATACTTTCACCTAATTTGAGGCTTTCCTACTAATAAATAGCCATGGATCTAAAATGATCCATTTAATCCTTATCGCTTATGCTATTTTTTGAATTCAGTTATTATACAAAATGACAACAGGAAAGCTGAAGGATCTTATGAACTTGAAATGACTAAACTAAGCCAATATGCATCAAATACACTGTTGTCATACCTCCTCAACAAGATCGCCAGCAATTCCTCTGACAACCTCACATAAGTTGTTCTCTGTAAATGCATCATTGATCCAGAAACTCATATCCTTGTAACAAGGAGGAAACTAAACAAACAAATAAACTGTAAGTCAGCATAATTGACACCAAGATGAAGATTATTTTCTCAAAAAATAAAGTGTAGATTAAACAAGAAACAGAAACGTAGAGAGTAGAGACTATACCTTTGAAAATGGCTTGAACTTGACACCAAGCTTGCCTTCTGAGAACTGGGTAGCATGAATGAATGTCTTAGAAATTAATGTTGCTGAGAGTAAATACAAACCAAGACAAACATGGCATCTCTTGTTAATACTATGTTAGATCAACATATTGTACATATTAATGGATGGGAATGGAGAGACCTGGCCCTGGCCTTGGACCCGGCCCCGTGGCCTCAAGGCCAATTTTAGGGGACATGGGTCGACCCATTTCACCTAAAGACCATGGCCTTATTGGCCCAATGGGTAGTATGGGTCAACCCAAATATTTTTTGCTATCATGGGACATGAGTACTATCAACACTTCAAGAGAAGATAAGATATAAGATTGAAAAGTATCATGATGACATATTAAGGTTATTAGCAATGCATCAAAATAAATAAGTTTGCAAATGAACAATGATTTTAATTTTATCTATTTTCATTTCCAAAATATGATATTGCTTCCTTGATGTACTTCCAAGCATAGATGTACTTACAAGTTATGACCAACCATGCTTATGCGAAAAAAATGAAGAAGAACAACAAATTAAAGAAAAAGATTGTTATGTTACGAGTGGGTTGACCCGTATTACCCATTGGGTCAATAGGTTCCGGCCCTGTCGCCCCATTTTAGACTTTGAGGCCGGCCCCTATGACCCATCGGCCTTACTTTCCTGGGTCGGGTCAACTACCCAATGGGTCAACCCAACCATTCCCATCCTAATTGATGTAACAAGCCAATAAGAATAAAAATATGAACTAAACAATCAAATAAAGTTAGTATTTTCAATCTTTAAGTGTTGCCAAAACCAAAGTTTATCAGTTGTAATTTTTTAACTACATCAGGAAGCAAATGATTCCTAAACATTAGTCAATAACAGTTGTTACTAGCACATTTAACTTGACAAATCAAGCTCTTGATCCTTAATTTTTTTTTAAAAAGATAACCCTCAAAATATTTGAGATAAAAAAAGGGGAGTGAGTTTTGCAGAAAGTAAATATGATTGAGCAGATGTTGTAGCCTTCTCGAACATGGTAAACAGGTCACTATAAGCTAACACAAAAATTAAACTACCCAAGTAGTTCCATAGCCAAATTGTAGTAGCAGTACCTGGGACGTGAACCGTTTATCATTCGACCAGAAGAGTCGAATATCTGGAATGTCAAAAAGGACCATTGCAAGGCGCTCCAATCCCAATCCAAAGGCCCATGCCACATGGTCTCTCCTGCCATTTCTTTTCAAAATTTCCTGCTCGGTGACTCCACACCCCAAAACCTCCAACCAATCATCCTTACAAGACCAGAAACTTATTCAGGCTCATTCACGTCAATGTGACTTGTGCAATATGTTTTACTTGGGCTTATGACTATCAAAAAAAGTTGAATACATCCAACATGCCTGAAAGTATATTTCGAGCTCGAAGGATGGGTTGGTAAATGGGAAGTAAGTGTCAACCCATCGCATCTCTACAGCACCTGCACATGACATTTTTCTAGAGTTTAGCTCAACAAAGATCTATTTCTTCATCCCCTCAAATGACAAGGAACAAGCTACAAGTGATTTACCAAATAGATGTCTTGCCAAGCCTTCCAGCGTTTTCTTGAGTTCTGCAGCTGCATATGCTGTCCCATCCATGCCAGAACCTGACCATTCATCAGGAGAGAAGACACAGAACCCTTCCATCTGCATGTGTTAAAGATTATCAGAACAAACCTCATTGAGAAAGATTTAAGTGAATATGGCAAAATAAAGTTACCTGATGGAAGACAGGATAGTGAGTTGAATCAATAGAATCCCTACGGTAAACATCTCCAGTTACAAGAAAGTGTGTATGCCCATCCCTTAGCAGCTCAGCTTGATGAGCACTGGTATGACACCTTAAGACTGTTTGACCATCAACATAATACGTGTCATTGTAACTCCGACTTACATGGTCAGAAGGGACCAAGACATCATCAAAATTCTGCAGCAAAGAACATTTATTGGTCAGCCAGAGGCCAAAAACTGCCACATACTATTTTCCCTGAAGGTGTATGAATCTGAAGAACAAACACACAGCACATCCATATGCCAATTCACTAATATCAGGGAAGAAGCCACGAGAGGGAAGGAATGAGCAATCAAAGTATTGAGCTATACCAAAATATGCATTGTACCAGTCTTTTCACCCTTACCCACCTAGCATTGTGTGTTGACTAGCTACTGGTACCTTGTTAAGGGTATAGTAATACTGCAGTCAATTATTAGCAGAAGCAAAATAGCATATATCCATTCAATATTACTACATGCAATTTGTACCTCATACCTGCTTGACAGAAACAAGGGGGCAAAGGTCATCAAACTTGTCAAACTGTCCAGTGAAGTTCTTGTCAAAGTAATCATAAATTGTGTTCTTCAGGATCCCAAGGGGATGGTTATCCCTCCTGTGCAGCTGCAGGCCGATCTTTGAAAAGATAGTGTCTGGCACGTTGTTTGTCGGGTCATCCTCCTTCACAACATCTACCGAGGACATCCAAAATGAGCCAAATCATGACAGTAAAAATCAGAACATACTAATTGCACAAAATGCATGGTCCATTTCAAGTCAATTTTCATTAATTCGACTGGAATATAAACACACATGCCACTGTAGAAACATTTTGGTCTCAAAGTGCGCCACTAAAATGCAAGGTAACGACTGTCAGAGCAATTCCACTGCCAAGAATCTACTGAAGAACGCAATTACGCAGCCAGTGATTCAGGAATTTGAGCTACCGATTCATAGCACACCAACATATTAGTCATTATGATATCTCCAATGCATCATGAATGCATGGAACCTCCCAAAACACTACCAGTAGTAGCCCAAGCATAGCGCATTTGAACTCTCAAAATCCTAACTCAGGAAAAGTGGAAGCAATCCAACCATCCAACCAAAGAAAACCCTGCTCAAAACCCCGGCCATCCTACCAAGATCCCGCCTTTACATCATCACAGCTTGGGGCCCCGAGGGTCCCCACTCACCCTCGCGCGCGATCTTGACGCCGCCCACCTCAACGGCGGAGGCCGTCGCTCGCAGCCCTTTCGCCAGGGCCGGCGCCGGCGCGGCGGAGAAGAAGCGGGCGAGGAGGAGGCGGTGAGAACGCGAAGAAGGGGAGTAGAGGGGGCGGGTGGTGAAGGAGGAGATGGCAGCGGCGTGGGGAGCCATCGGAAGCGTGGCCATGGCGCGAACACGCGCGCGGAGGAGCCAGCAGCGAGCGGTTCGGATAAGCGGGCGCATGCCTGCGGCGCGGCGGATTCTTGTGCGCTGCTGAGGAAGAGTGAAAGCGAAAGGGGGGAGAAGAAGACAACCAAGTGTACAACCCCAGAACATGAATACATGATTATATATGATGATGGCGTTGTACTGAATTTTGCTTGTAATCAGGTGGAAATTGAATCGCTATTTTCACTCTTTTTTTATCAGCCTAATTGTTGATTAAAGATTATTAAGTTTAAATTTTGAAATATGTTGTTCAGAATGGATGAAGTATCATCAATCCGGCTCCAACCCGTAATGACAAGTGATTGCTTGCTCGCTATATAGTTATAGTGTCATCCTTGTAACATATATATACAATAATATTAATAGCATATCTAGAGTTCCTTAAAAACCATTTACTAAACATTGATTTATACAAATGAACAAAATGAATAGAGCCTCTTTTTCCCCTCTCTACAATAGTTATCTTCATAAAAATAAAAAGATGCACGAGTTACTTTTGCTTGGTCCTCTCCATATCGTTCTTGCGCCACTACCCCTTGCCGGTTATCCTCCGCGTCCAGCTTAACGGCGGCATCCCATAGCTAGACGTTGTCAGATTGGAGCTAGTCGCCCCGATCCCTAGCTAGGACAAATGTATTAGGGTGACATTTTTTCATTCTACAACTACACACTTCCTTCCGAAGTTAAAAAAAAATTTAGCATCTCCTTTAATACTAGTTTTTTTTTGCGATTTTTGTCCTACTTATATAGACACCCCTCTGCTCCTTTTGTGCCAACGCCACAACGCCCCCCCCTCCTACCACTCTATCTCTTCCTCCCAGTGGTGCGGCCTCTATACCTTTCTTGACACTACCTTCTCCATCAGATCTGTTGCTAACATTCTTTAGCCTAACAGATAAATTCACAAACTTACGGATATCGATGCGACTTTTATCCATATAAGTATTTTAAGGTAACGATTTCCACGGTGAACATGATGTGTAGTAAACTTCAGCTCATTTTTCCGGGGGTAATGGCATCAAAGGGGGTAAAAAGATGGGTAGAGAGAGTACTTGAACGGTAAACTGTTCTTCTACAAACTAAGCAAATCAAAGCTCACTCATGTTGTTTACTTTACGCCCGCGATCAGCCAACTCATAGAAAAGGACGAGAAGAGAGCAGCGAGTCCACCGCTAAGTTCTGCAGAACCGAACTAATACTATACCACAGGTAAAAAAAAGTGTCGGATGTGAGTCACTAAAAGCGACAAGATAACGATGGACGGTCCATTGGTAAAAGTTCTTTCTTTGTTCTGTACTAGCGACCCAGGCAGGAGGTCGAAAGTGCATTTGCCCCCTATGTGGGTTTTGGTGTATTGATGATATCAAAATTAGGGACTAATGAGATCTTAATGAGATATATTACAGCTTTAGTCCCTTGAAAGTTTTAAAGAGTTGATCTAAGATGAAATGATATCCCTCAATTCTTCAAGTGCAAAAAGCGGACGAACCCAAAGCGCTCTCCAAAGCTTTTATATTTTATTTTGGGTTTATGTATGCCGTACTATAAAGAGGGATGCAAGTTTATGTGGTCTAAGGAAGATAGAGTGCTCAAGCACAAAAATAAAATCAAAAGAGAGACACAAAATCACCTTACGAACACTTAGACATAGTTTTGTGGACTTTTGGTAGTCGAAAGTCCTGACGTTTGGTGCCACAAGTCCCAGTGCTTGCTGACCTTGCGGCTAGCCCACCAGCGCACCTTCGCCCGTCGGAAGTCCCGACGGGAGTCGGGAGTTTCGGGTGCCGGAAGTCCCGGCTCCCGCCGGAAGTCCCGATGCCCTGGGACTTAATCCCCTGGCTCGGCTGTGCGTCGGGAGTCCCGACAAAAGTCAGAAGTCCCGACTGCCGGAAGTTCAGACATTCCGCTATGAGTTCCGGTTTTGGCTGTGTTGACCACCTTTGACTGCGCCACGAACAGTGTTTTGTAGAAGGGCCGGAAGTTCTGGCGATCTGTGTCGGAACTTCCGACGCAGATCTGGACGGTTGGATTCTACTATGATTATAAATAGCTCTCTCCTCTCTTCTAACCGTTAACCACTCATACATTGCTCACCAACCTTCGTCCAAAGTAGCTCCCAAGCATTCAAGGCGCCCTCTCCTCTCCTCTTTGCTCCAATATTTGATTTTTCTAGGGTTTTGAGTGAAAGGAGAGTGGATTGAGTGAGAGAAACACTTTGGCAAGCTTGAGCACTTGATTTCCCTAGGGTTTTGAGTGAAAGGAGAGTGGATTGAGTGAGAGAATCCCCTTTGCTCCAATCTGAATGGTTGGATTTGTGTCTATTACTCTTGGATTCTTGGAACCCTAGCCGACTAGGCATCACCCAAGAGCTTTCATCTTGTGGAACAGCCTTGGAAAGTTTGTATTACCCTCGATTTCTTAGTGGAAAGCTCAAGTGACCTTTGTGGTTACTTTGAGAGAGGCAAGGAGGTGGAAAGAGACTCCGACCTTTGTGGTCACCTCAACAACGAGGACGTAGGAGCTCCTTTGTGGGGTTTCCAAACCTCGAGATAAATCCTTGTGTCCCGCGTGCTTATTGTTGTTGAGATTTGTGCTATCATATTTGTTCTTATTGGTTTGTCTTCCTCCCCAACACTCCTCTTAGGGTTTGGACTCGATCGACATAGTGGTGTCCTTTCGGCGTCAAAGGAGCAGCCCCAACACTTCATCTTACCACTAGGAAGTGGGGTGTAAGATATCTCGCACTCCAAGTTCATTTTAGTACTTATAGTGAAATTCTCGTAGGTGCCGGAACTTTCGGCTGTTTGTGTCAGAATTTCCGACTATCACTGACATTTGACTTTGAGATTACGCAGAAATTTTTAGATACACCTATTCACCTCCTCCCTCTAGGCATTGTTTAGATCCTTTCAGAGGTTGATGATGAGGTCATCGGTGTGGCCACCGCCCACCGGTGGCTTCGACAACGGGGAGGCCGGCAGGAGGAGGGACAATTATTAGAGAAGAGAAGATGCGAGAAAGAAGAAGAGGCGAGGAAAAAAGAAGAAGAAGAAATGAAGCTGCTAACTGAAACAATGCGTAGACATGCACCAAGTCCGCCTTCCCCAATTTCACGTTGGTGGTCGTTCACCAGTTTCTTTTCGAGCGAACACACTAACCGCGCCTCTCCTTTCCTTTTCCCGTCCTATTCCTTTTCCTTTTCCATCCAGCGTCCACGACACCACGTGACAATCAAAATTCGTTCTGAAATATTCCCCCCTCCCCCCTTCCACGTGCCTACCCAACGAAGCAGGCGATTTTGAACAGTGTCGTTCATCTTCTTCCTCATTGTGGCTCTGCCCTACGCGACCGCCGTGGGCTCACCGGCTTTGGCCCCGACCCTAGCTCCTACGCCGGCGTCGGCATCTTCTCCCCACTGACCGCTACCGGCCTCTTCTCCCCGCTGCTCCTCTCGTCCTAGCTTTCCTCCCTTGCCCTACATGGCCACCTCTTTGGGCGGCCTCACCAGGATTCGATTCGAGGTGTCGCCTGTGGGTGTTCTCCATGATTCGTCGCAAGGTATTGCTGAGATCCCTTCTCTCTTGTTTTGTCGTGATATGCATTAACGGGGTTTTTGATTTGAGGTCGTATCGAGTAATTTTCTAGGTCTTCTATTTCCCCGCTCCTCCTCTTCCAACCGCCACGGGTTCACTTTCCCCGGCCCTGACCACGGCTCTCGAGTCGGCGCCATGCGTCGTTCGAGCGCGGCTGACCGCCACCGCCCTTTTCTCGCTCCTCCTCTCTTTCCAGGTCCCTCCACTGCCCTACGTGGCCGCCGTGGGTTCATCGGCCTCGTCTTCGACCCCGACTCCCGCGTTGTAACACCCCTGGTGTTATAGCTTGTTTAGCACCGAGATTGAGGCCCGAGAGAGATTAGCCAAACAAATTTTCGGGTTTTAAAAATTTAAAACGCACAGGAAATGATAAGCGAATCCTATGTGACTCACTTTTGTGGACTCAACTAAATATCTAAGTTAACTTACTTGGTGCGTAAAAGTGCTAATGAAAATACTAACGAGAAAAATGAGATAAGTCGTTTTAATTGTTTAGCACGAAAAATAATTTATATAAACAAAAATAAAATATAACTTGTGTGTAGTACTTAAGTAAAGATGATGAGCAAGTGGTGTAGTTAAAAATGCAACTTTAATTTTTGAAAACAAATGTTGTTAACTAGTGTTCTTGAGAGCTCGAAAATCAAATCTGAAACTAAAAATCAGCCTTTCAGTTGAATCGGCAAGAATTTAAACGTTTAAAATGTTATTTTTGACGAATTATATTGAACAAAATAGTTAAATAGTGCTTAAGTATTTTGTTCCTATGGTTTAGTGTAAAGTATGGGCTATCGCATGTAGTAATTCTTGGTTGAAGTTAATAAGGTATAGACCTCATAAAAATTATGGCAACAAGTGTTCATGGATGTTAAGTCCAATTGAACCCTTGTCTTTTCTAAGTCGGAAAAGAGTGTTGGACAATGCTATTTTGGCATTTGAGTTCTAACTAAAATACTTAAACACTAGTTTCATGATTTGGTGTTGTTGGTTGCCTCTAAGTGAGCACTTGATCAGGGTGTAGGCCGAAGTGGTGATGAATGTCACTTTGCTCGTTTTAAATTGGCTCAAACTTCCTTAAAACGCACTGTGTCCACGCTGTTAGCGCTCTGTTCATGGGACAGCGCTCAGCGTGATGAACCCACGTTGGCACCTCTCTATCTCCCTCGCTAGTCACCCTCCGGCCATGCTTGTTGCCTAGATAGTCTTGAGCTTTTGTTTTAATCTCAACCGAGCTCTAATCGGTTGATTTTCACGCTTTAAGATCTGTGCACAACATCGCCTTGGGCTGGCTGGCCGGGTGTGCGTGGTCACCGCACTCGGGGTGCGATGTCGCGCATTGGTGCACCTACCGCCGCACGCGCGCAC